GGAGCAGACAGCAGAGGCCTTCACAAAGCTCAGCATGGCGTCAGAAGGCCGTCTCTGCATTGATTAAAGGCCTTTGACGTCCGTGTATTTGCTGCGGCTGGTTCTAATTTAATTACTCTAAAAACTGTCATTACAGGCTTCTGCATCTAAAGAGAAAATTTCTAAGGAATGAGGACTTCAAGGAGCAGTATGTTAAATGTATGGAGGAAGTAATCAAGTCTGGAAATGCAGAGCTCATCAATGACAAAGGCTGTCCAGGAGAAACATGGTATATCCCACATCATGGTGTCCGTCATGCGAAGAAACCAGATAATCTGAGTCGTTTTTGATTGCTCTGCTGAATTCCAGAATACTTGTTTGAATGACCACCTTCTTTCAGGCCCCGACTTAATGAACAGCTTAATCGGGATTCTTATCAGATTCCGCCAACACCCTGTAGCCTTGTTATGTGATATTGAGAAAATGTTCCATCAGTTCCATGTGGCTAAAGAGGATCGAGATTATATACGTTTTTTCTGGTGGAAGGACGGGGATCTGAGCTCTCCTCCCAATAAATTTCGTATGAAGGTGCATTTGTTCGGAGCTGCGTCTTCCCCTGGATGTGCTAACTATGGATTGAAGCATTTGGCTAAGGAGTACCGTGACGTCTTCCCTCAAGCTTCAAGGTTCATTTTGAATGATTTCTATGTGGATGACGGCTTAACCCGTGTTGAAGACGTTGCAGTAGCCATTAAACTGGCCAAGGAGGCAATAAAAATCTGCGCTGAAGGGGGGCTCAGACTACACAAATTTGTGTCGAATGATCGAGTGGTCATGGATAGTATTCCAGAGGCTGAGCGAGCCCCTAATGTTAAGGACTTGGATCTGAGTTTTGAAAGATTGCCACTTGAACGCGCACTTGGAGTCCAGTGGAACGTTGACACAGATGAATTCACCTTTCGCATACATCTCAAAGAACAACCGGCGACGAGAAGAGGGATTTTGTCCACTGTAGCATCACTGTATGATCCCCTGGGCTTTGTGGCACCAGTTCTCCTCAACGCAAAAACCATCCTGCAGGAAATGTGTCGACATGGAGTAAAATGGGATGATGAAATATCTGAAGTGCTCATGCCCCATTGGGTAAAGTGGAAGTTAGAACTTGCTCATCTGTCTAAAATTTCAATACCTCGCATGTATGTCCCTGCTGGGTTTGGGAAATTTGTCAAGGTGGAGCTACATCATTTCTCAGATGCCAGCACAAGGGGATACGGACAGTGTTCGTATCTTCGTTTCCAGAACAAGAGTGAAAATGTTCACTGTGACTGAAAATCCAGAGTGTCTCCGATAAAGGTTACAACAATCCCTCGTTTAGAGTTAATTGCTGCAGTTGTTTCGGTTCAAGCAAGTCGGCTAATAAAACCAGAATTGACTTTATCAAAGATAAGAGTACTTTTGGACCGACTCCTGTGCAGTTCTGGGATACATTAACCTCTTAACAACCACCGCCGCGCCGGCGTGCCGTTTTTATGTTTTTAAATGTTCTGCTGGCAATAGCAGATGTATTTTGAACACCAAACCCCAAAAGCTGTATGTCATTTTAAAGCTTATTTTCTTATCTACATTTATATACAAGTGTTAACTACATCAGACTTTGCATTCAAAAGATATAACACATAATGTGGGCACAAAATAAATCAATTCCGAAATAGTTTTTTACCTTTGGGCTTGTGCTGTACATATAAATCAGCTCTCCTCCCAGCTTGCAATACATCATTCTCTCTGGAACAGTCCAAAGGAAAATTATATCCACTTGTATTACCCAAAGTAAAATCCATTCTGCAGAAATAATCCAAAAATGTGCATTTATCTTTAGCGAAAAAAAGAGCACAGATGTTGCTCTTTCACTTTTAACGGACTTTTAGCTTTGTTTTTCACCCGAACATCTGGTATCCACGTGTTCCTTAGCTCCTTATCTTTCAAATGAGACTACTCCCGAAAAGCTAGACCAATTTTTGGGTCTGTAAGAGCTCCCGTGAGTACAGCTAGCGCTGCTGTTTGGATCTTCAATAGACAGTGGCGACAAACAAAGGGGTTCCCACTTGTTCCAGCTGTCAAGAGTGTACCCCGCAGGTGCAGTCCCGTCTGGGCACGAGGGCTCCCCCGGTCCTCAGGGATATGTTACGGTTTCCCCTACTATTAAGAACATGTACAATGGGTCTGGCATGCGCCTCATGTATGGAATTTTTTTTAGCTTGAATTTTTCCATTTGATTTTTTTAACCCTGAAAAAGCATGTTTGAATATTTTTGTCTTTGCATTTCAGTACCAAAAAAATTCAGTTTACACATTTCAATGTGAAAATGACCTATTCACCTTCAAAATATTCAAAACAAAAAATTCAATGAAAAAACTTTGAATATTTTTGTATGTGAATTTCAGTCACTGATTATCAATTTCATATTGGTTTTCATTTAAATTCAACAGTCTAAATTCGCCGCGAAATAATACGATGGTGAAAAATTCACACATCCGGTGTTCTGACGAGTTGTGTGCTGTGTCAGTTGGTCCGCGCATGCGTCATTTTACTGAGGTAAAGACAGGCGTAGCTTTCAGCAGGTCTATCGGTTGATAACATGAATCTATCAGGTTGATATGGGATTTCTAAAGAATGGATTGTATTGTATCCAAGGCGAATAACAAGATGATGCTACATTAAATTGATGAGTTAGTCTTTTGAATATTTAGGGTGAATGTGCTTGTTGCAAATTTTTATTGCTGTATATTCCTGTTAATTTATTTAGGCTGTGTGTGTTTGTGTTCAGGAAAACCATCACATTTTGAACATTTATAGCAACGAATGACAGTGTTATTGTTGGTAGCGTTACACAGTATTTCCGTCAATCAGGTGCAGCATTAGTTTCCCGTGTAGCTGTTTCCACAGGGCTCACTCGTGTAAGTTTAAAAAGAGCAAACACTCCCACGGGACTCCATGTAAAGGAATTAACAAAAAACATGTATTCCACAGCGGGAACTCTTGTACACTAAGGGCGTATTCAGACCTGTACAATTGCTTTGCTACATTGATGTTTATGGCAGCATCTTCAAGCCATTTGCATTATTAAAAGCCTGACACTGTTTGACTCTCGTCTCAAAGAGCAATATTCCGCATCATGTAGTGAATTGTGTTCTTTGGTTCCTACCTGATCCTCAGCGTCTGTTTGTCCCTTGGTTATTATAGATCCATGGTTTATCCACAATGCTGAACAGGGCCTTTTATTATAATAGATCCATGTGTGGGACAGGGCACGGAGCGTACAGACAGTCTCCTTCGGCTTTCTCCTCACACATTCTCCGACGCTGTTCCAATATTTAAAACAACGTGTTTCGCCTGTGTCATATGAGCTGCTGCTGTTGATGTTGAAGGTGGTTTTGCTCTAAAAAGAGCAAACATAGGCAGAGCCGACATGCTGCACATACGAGCCCTCAAAGTGTTCTGCCGGTTCCGCGTCTATCCTCCGTGAGCTCTTGCTGTCCAATAGGAGCGCCGATCGTCACACGTGTCAATATGTTTATATAAAAAAGTTCACTTGCAAAAAGGACAGTCTGAATACGAACCGGAGCAAAAGAAAAAAGTTTGGTCCGCTTTTGATTCGGATCAAGCAAGCGGAGCAAAGGACTTTTCAGGTCTGAATACACCGTAAATTATATTTGCTGAGTTGTCTCTGAAATAATGTAACAACGGTAAGAAAACCGTATGGCTCCAAAAAGTTGCGTGCTCTTTCGGCTCCACTCACTCTGTAAACAAAGCAAAACCTCTCTCTCTCCCTCTTAAAGTGACGGTAACGTAAATATTCTAAGTTAACAAAATCTATATTAGTTCTAAAGGGTCGGGGTGGTGGCAATCAGCTGCCACCCAATTCACAGAGCACTGTTCCTCCTGCAGGTGGAGGGTCCACAGAAGGCATCTATGTCGCTGAGAGGACAGCCTTGATCTTTCAGCGGGGGCTTACGTCAAATATTAATCAAACAAATAAGTTATTACCAGTTCATAAAAAAATTACAAATTTTTAACACTCTATACAGTTTGTGCTACAAACAAAATAGCAAACTAACAAAACTTATGTTTTAATTTGCAGTTAAGATGTACAGTGCATCCGGAAAGTATTCACAGCGTTTCACTTTTTCCACATTTTGTTATGTTACAGCCGTATTCCAAAATTGATTCAATTCATTTTTTTCCTTACACTTCTACATGCAACACCCCATAATGACGACATGTTTGAGATTCTTGCAAATTTATAAAAAATAAAAGAACGAAGAAATCACATGTACAGAAGTATTCACAGCCTTTGCCGTGCAGCTCAAAATAGAGCTCAGGTGCATCCTGTTTCCACTGATCATCCTTGAGATGCTTCTACTGCTTTATTGGAGTCCACCTGTGGTAAATTCAGTTGATTTGACTTTGATTTGGAAAGGCACACACCTGTATATGGGCAAAACTGCCCAACGACGGGTGTGCCAAGCTTGTGGCATCATAGACAAAAAGACTCTGTTCTCCATTCATACCCAATTCTGGGTGTGGTCCATGGTTCCCTCCCTGCCCTGTGGTCCTTACGCACTGCAACTTTATACATACAAAACAATACAAACTAGAAAATAAAAAACAAAGTTCACTGCTAGCACATATGCGAGGGATGGGATACCCATCTCACTGACAATGTCCCAAGACATCTTTAAAAAAAAAAAAAAAAAAAAAACGGTAAAATATGTACCCTCACTCAACCAATCAGCTCTCCGTTGTAAAAGATAATGAGATTTTCACAGCATGATGAGGCCTGATTTGTTCACAAAGTTATTTAAACATTTCTGTTGGGACAAACCGCTTTAATGATACATTTCATTTGATTGTGATTGTTCTTTATGGTACAGATATTCTGTTGGCTTGTCTTTTGAACTGTGTTTTATACAACGTCCTTCATTGAACCAAAGCCTTTTCTTGTCTTGTCTTGTGCTTAACAGCGCTGGGTTTGGGGCCGGAGTGAGGAGGAGGCCCGTCACAGAGCCGCAGCCCAGTATGGAGTCGGAGCGGAGAATATCACTCTTACGCAAGGTGAGCTATTCTGCTTTATTTAAGTGCATTCAGCCTGTGAACGGGATCTTGAGAATATCCTAAGTAGAAATTGTACGTATGAACATGATACGTGGCGTAGGCCAGTGGTTCCCACAGTGGGGGTTCCGACCCCCCGGGGGTCACGAGATGATTTCCAAAAAAAGTGAAACAAATATATAGCCCATATCTATTTATTTTGCATTTGATTTGATTCAAAAGAACTAATTATTAAATTGTGTTTGGAGAACAGAGAAAAAATATATATTTTAAAAACATTTGTAATTTTGTCCCAGACATTACGAGTTTACGACAGTGTCAATCAAAATCAAGTTACGTTGCTTACATAATGCGCAGCGACAAAGCGTGTCTGTCTGGTGGTTAATATCCACAACAGAAAAACCTGGAGGGGAAGAAAAGTCAGAGGTACAGTAAGGCTAATGGTGCAAAGACTGTTGCGGAGGGAACATCAGAGACGGCGGCGGAAAACAGTGAGGTTGAGTCGCAAGAAATGCCCTCCATCTCTGTTAAGGGGGGAGCCCTCCACCTCTGCTAAGGAGGAATTCCGCCAAGCCCATCACTTGTAAAAATAAAGTAAAAATACCCATGGCTTATTTTGGGCTGGCAAGTGCAACTCGGTACGCGCTGCTACACTCATCTCCTCGTGTTTTGTGGACGGCCCTTGCTGATAACGTGGGCACGAGTCTCTACGCGAGTCTATACGCTTCACATGACGTCTGATGTGTGTACAAAGCGTTACTCCAAATCCAGGAAATACGTGCTCATTTCATGTGACGGGAAGGGCTGTTGAGGTGGGGATGCGGGGGAGCAGCACATTTATAATGGGGGTCACAGGCCAAAATCTTTGGCAACCCCTGGAGTAGGCTATGATGTGTGAAATAACATTAAGATACATATAGACAGGGGTGCACATGAAGGTGGATGTATACTTGTGCGTCGCTGTGCTTGCAGTGGCCCTCGTGACTTTACCGGATCTCACATGATCAACGTAAGGATCACCGCAAGAATCCCTTTCACTACCACTCGTGCACTTTTTTTTAAACTACGCAGCCAGCAGCGCTGTATAATCACTCCCTCAACAACATCCTCCTCAGGCTGCCGCAAAGATGGAAAAAGCGTGCACCAAGATCATTCTGCATTAAACAGTGGCAGCGACAATGGAAACTGAAACTACAGCTTTGCATAGTTTTGTGTGGACGGACGAAGGAGTAGAATACTTCTCTGTGTAACGCTCGAAGCACACAAAGCATTAGTTTAGGTTATTGCTAAACTAATGCACGTCCAAATGTGCGTGCGGGGAAGTCGTGAGCCAGAGAATGTTCACCTTTTTCTTCACACAGCTGTGTAACAGTCCCCCACCACGCTGCGTATCTGTTCGGTTCCACTCTGGAGGCTTTTTCTCAATGCTTCAATACAGCAGCTGTGAGCCGCTTTGACAACAACGCTGAGCGCGGACCATTGACGCGGGGCAGGACCATTCTCTGCTTGTTGCAAGTGTGTGTCTTTGTGTAACTTGTGCACGCAATAAATACACCGCTCCAAGAAACGGAGGTGGACTATGGAGCCTGAGTGGCTCCCCCCCCTAGTCTCCTCTCGCAGCGCAACTAAAACTCACTAAATTAAAGATGGGGTAGCTAAATTTTCCCTTGCATTAATAATACATGTTGGTTGTGCCCAAAAGTAAACTGTTAACTAATCAAACGGCAACAGGTATTGTATTTTTGCGTACTTAAGAGCCCTGTGAGTCATTATTTGTCATTTTTGGCTGAGAGTGGATTATCTGAGCCAAACTAAAGCATAAAGCACTTTTAGGATAAAAAAAGATTTAAAATCTCGATTAAGAACAGCAGCAGAGGTGGTGTAGATGCTGGGTGGAGCAGGACAGGTCACAGCAGCAGAAGTGGTGTAGCGGCTGGGTGGACTAGGACAGGTCACAGCAGTAAAGGTGGTGTAGCTGCTAGTGAAGAGCTGCTTCCTATTCTCTGGTTGGTTCAGACCATGACATTTTGAATGCTTTATTAGCATTTTTCAAAACTACAAAAATAGCATTCTGTCAGTGACTTACGCTTGATCTGCTTGGTTCAGACCATGAATCCTCTCTGCTCGGGTCTGGATAAAAATAAACGCAAGAAAAATAATGATTGTAAAGCACAAAACAACAACTGTTTCAGAGCTACTTTTTCTGCCATTTTCTTATGCATCAAATGAAGACAGCATGTTGCCGTCATTCTATTGGGGCAATAACATTTCTTACATTGGTCCCTTTTTATCTCTGAAAAACCCCCCACCACATATTGTAAAATACAGCTGCAGAGGACACCATGCTGAGGGGCAGGAGCAGGACTTAGGGCTGCAGAAAGACCTGTAGTCTTAGGCCCCGTTTATACGGAGGCACTGCCCAAACGTTGGCAAGCTATTAACAGAAACGACCAGGCGCCTTTTACAAATTTCACAGCGTTCATACGCGGATGAAAAACAATGTAGTTCTTGCGCCCGGCCAGTAGTGGGCAGAGGAACTTCACAACACGACACACTTGAGCCCCAGCCCCCCCAGCAGTATACTCACTTCCTCAACAACATCCTCCTCAGAACCTCCTCAAATATGTGAAAGAATGCACCAACATAATTTTGCATTTAACAGCAGCTGCGAAAATGGAAACTGAAACTAGAACTTTGTGTGGTTTTGTTTGGCCAATCCTCCTCCGTGTAGTGCTCGAAGAACATGTTGCTACTTAGTGTATCTACCGCCATTGTTATTTACGTTTGTTCTCGGCTACTGCGAATGTCCAAATGTCCACGGGGCTCGGGGTCGTGTGAGTGTTGTAAAGTTTCTCTGCCCACTACTGGCCGGGCGCTAGAACTACATCGTTTTTCAACCTCATGTGAACGCTGAGAAATTTGCATTAGGAGCCAGGTCGTTTCTGTTAATAGCCTGGAAACGTCTCAGTATAAACAGGGCCTCAGATACGCTGCTCAGCGGGGGGTTCTCGTTCACACCCGCGTAAGGAAAAAGGTGTGAATTCCCTGCCTCATCTGACCCCCACCTCCCCGCTGTTCCCCGCACGTACATTTGGACATGCGCAGTAGCCGAGAACAAACGTAAACAACAATGGCGGCGGGTAAACTAACTAGCTACGTGTGCTTCAAGCGCTACATAGAGGATAATTCTACACCAGGGGTGTCAAACTCATTTTGGTCCGGGGACGAATAGAACCTAATCTGATCTCAAGTGGGCCGGACTTGAGATCAGAAGATGCTCTACAAACATACCCAAAAATGGTGCAAAGTATAACTTTTTGTGCACAGAAACACATTTATTTAAAACTTCCTTTAAAACACTGTCCTTTAATACTCAGTTTTCGGTTACAAACTTAAATGTAACAGTGAGTTTTTCATAGTACAAATAATGTAATGTATTTACAATATTACATTTTAAATGGCATTTCACAATATTTATAATAATATTTGTATGTTAGTTTTGTTTTAAGGCTCATTACAGAGAAAACTTGCTCACAAAGGTAAAGTGGGCTGATAGAAAAAGCACTTTAACACAGCACCTCAGCTTAACCATCTTCAGTGTGGTAAGAACCATGGTTATGTTATTATGACATTAACCATCTTCAGTGTGGTAAGGTCCATGGTTATGTTATTATCACATTAACCATCTTCAGTGTGGTAAGGTCCATGGTTATGTTATTATCACATTAACCATCTTCAGTGTGGTAAGGTCCATTGTTATGTTATTGTCGCAGAGAAAGCATCAAACTGAACATGATTCAGTTGAAATTAACAAAACAACTTCCATAACGTGATCCATTCTGAGCGACTGCAGCAGTGTCTCTGTGTAAAATACAGTCAAATGTCCAAATATCATCACCTCCATTTGCAGCTTTGTCACTACACCTGCCTCTACCATCGGTACCAGGCTGACAGCGCAGGACCAGTCTACACTGTCCAACACACCAGCAACAACAGCAGAACCAGCAGCAGCAGCACCAGCTGCATCAGTAACATCAGTCTCTTATCAATGGCAACATGTTGGTGACAGCGAGTGGTTTCTCAGACCATGTCTGCAGCCGCACATGAGTTTTGACAACCCTCTCACTGTGCGGCTGTGATGCTAATGCTATGTTTTTAGCACAGGTAGCTTGTCTTCACAGCAGCAGCACTAACCTCTCGCTCTGGGCACAAACAGACTGCTGTGTCTTCAGGGCCATGTTTATCTTCTGTCTTATTCCTTCAGCACCAATCTGGTGGAGCCACTACAGACACACTGGACTCACTGCTGAGCAGTTGCGGCGCCTCGCAGTGCGAGGCGGATTTTGTAAATTTTTATTATTATTTATCATTTTACATAAATGAGTCGCGGGCCGTATCAAATCTCTTGGCGGGCCGCATAAATGACATCCCTGTTCTACACCTTCGTTCGTCCAAACGAAACCACACAAAGCTCTAGGTTCAGTTTCCATTTTTGCAGCTGCTGTTAAAATGCAGAATGATGTTGATGCATCTTTCACGTCTTGCAGAGGAAGTGAGTATACTGCTGGGGGGACGCTGGGGCTCGCCTGTGTCGTGTTGTAAAGTTCCTCTGCCCACTACTGTCCGGGCGCTAGAACTACATCGTTTTTCATCCTCGTATGAACGTTGTGAAATTTGCATTAGGAGCCTGGTCGTTGCGATCAAATGATCTTTTGTTGCTCTCTGTTCCTTTTGCACAGAACTGAGAAAAAAAGCCTTTGTATATGCTGCTCCTTCTACATGGAACGTAAAAAGACTGGAAATTAACTGAACTTATATCATTGAATGCTTTTAGATCCAGATTGAGAGCCCCTGAGACATCCCCATTGAAATGTAACTGTTTTTGTAATCCGAAGTGCGAGGGAGCAGCATGGAGTAGAACCAGGGCAGGACAGAGCAGGACGGAGCAGAACCAGGGCAGGACGGAGCAGAACCAGGGCAGGACAGAGCAGAACCAGGGCATGACTGAGCAGAACCAGGGCAGGACGGAGGAAAACCAGGGCAGGATGGAACAAAACCGGGGCAGGGGCAGGGCAGGATGGAGTAAGAATAGCAGGTGGCCGGAGAACTAGAAAATAAGGCAAAAAAACCTGGTTTGAATGCAATAGCTTGAGGTAGTCAAAATAATATCGCTAGAAAGGTAACACTGACTGGCAGAGTTTTACGATCTGGCACAGCTGAGCTCACTGCAGTGGATTTTCAATCTTTCTTGCTGTTGATGAAAGTGAACTCGGCTGTGGATTTCCTCCAGCACACCTGTTACCATCCTGCAACAAAAAGGGATGGGGAGGGAAGGCCAGCCTCTCAGGGAGTGGCTGAAGTGGCCAGAGGTGCTGGAGGGGCTGTAACAGTAATTGTATGCAACTTGTCCAGGACTCCCTTGAATAAGAGGTTCTTAATCTCAATGGGACTTTCTTGGTTTAGTAAAAAAAAAAAATTAATCACAGTGGTACACACAAAAGTTTTGTTCTGACTTTAAATAAATGTAACCGTCAGGCTATAGTAAGTAAGTAAGTAAACTTTATTTATATAGCGCCCTTCACAGACCAGGGTCACAAAGCGCTTCACATAGTATTAAAATAAACATACACATCTTTAAAGGCCAAGACAACCATGTAAAAAACAGCAAGACTGAACAAATAAATGTTTTTTAGGTACACTGGCAGCCAATGAAGAGCTTTAAGGACAGGGGTCCTCCTGTTTGTGCGGGTCAGGATTCTCGCTGCAGAGTTTTGCACTAACTGAAGGCGAGACGGTTCTTTCTTATTTAAACATGAAAACAGACTGTTACAATAGTCCAAACGCGAAGACACAAATGCATGAATAATCACCTCCAAATCATTCTGTGAAACCATTTTCCTGACTTTGGAAATTCTCCTCAGCTGAAAAAAGCAGTTCCTGGTCAGCTGTTTACAGTGTTGCACTAATGACATGTCCTTATCAAAAATAACACCTAGGTTTCTGA